AGGAGAGAGAGTTATGGGGGCATTTTAGGCCTTGTATAATATGTGTACCCTTTTTTATGTGGTCATTTATTATAAGGTGAACTTTATGAATAATGTATGATTAAAAGGCATAATGGATACACTGGGACTCATCAAAATAAAAGCAAAAATCCATTTGCTCTCCTTGTAGTAAATCTGCTAGCTTGTCCTTGGGCTAATTTCCAACTTGGGACTTGGTGGGGGAGTGAGTGCATGTCTTGATAGCGATTTCAAGAGACGGAGGTGTTGGTTGTGCTGCAAAGTGAGAGAGCGAGAGAGAGAGATGAGGGAGGAGGAAGAAAAGTGAAATGAGACACAGATGAGGAACAAAACCAGGAATATCTCTTTCTCTTGATGCCTCCCTCCTTCATCTCACTCTATCCCAGCTCCTCTTTTTCTCCTTCCCTCTTTCCCGTCTCTGTTTTTCACCATCTTATAGCTCTTTCCCCCTGCCTCTGAGCAGCTGCCACTTCTGAGCCTGAAGAAAATGAAGGCAGATGAATCAATTTGGCTTGTGGCCCTAAAGTGCACTTGTCTGCACCACAGCCTGGGCGGGGGGGATAATGAGCCAATAGATTGAGCTAGTGCTGGAGCCCAGCAGTGAGGGCCGAGGTGCCTCCGCCCACCGCAACACTGGGCCCCCTCACATACACACACACACACACACATACATATACACACAATACTGATGCCTACCTGAGTAGCGATAGCAGCCTGTCACTGGGTTAATGGGGGTGAGGGTCCTTTGTGCAGGACACTTTTCAGAAAAAATTACAGGAAGGATGTGTATCCGTCCTCTTTAACCCTCCCTTCCCTGTATTTCCCCTTGTCTCCTCCCAACTCTGTACATGGGAAGGCCAGAGAGGAGATTGGAGCATGTTAGTGTGGATCAGAAGAGAGTCTAGGCAGCCAGAAAGGAAGGAGTGGGTGGGAGGGCAGGGTCTGAGATCCTAGGGTAATGAGGATTGACACTGGGACAAGGCTCAGGCACAACCTCCCTGAGTGCTGTTGACAGGTGACAGCAGGCTAGGGAGAGACGAGGCAGAGTGAGAGAAGCTGGAGCAAAGAGAGGAAAATCGAGGTCAGGACTAACAGCTTCTTTTATTCCAGAAGAAAAAGGGTGGGAGGCCACAGAGCCAACCGATGCCCCCCTAAAACCTCCTGCAAGGTGAAGGAGAAGGGAGGATCAAAGGAGCAGGACAAAAAAGCACCACCTGCCACCGTCTAGCCATCTCCCTGCTAACAGCCTGCAGACTGATCAACACTACGAGGAGAGTTAGGAAGAGTGAAAGGCAACGGAAAGTTAGCCAAGCCTAGCGTGAGCTGATGTGAACCACTACTGTCTCTGTTGATGCCCTTTCTAATGGGGGGGTCTTCACCCAGGGTTAGAGTAGTATAAATGAGCAGACCCAAGTCGGCACTACTCAACTTGGGGGGAAATTAAGATGCTGGAGGGCCTTTTGAAGATAATTAAAGAGCACAGAGCAGCAGCCTCCAGAGAGGGACTGCAGACATGTTCAATACCGAGACTAATGGAGCCAATTTCCAGTACATTATTCATGTAAAACACAGGCTCTTACTTAGCTATGTTTTGCTGTCTCTTCTATCTGTCGTATTAAGTCAAACTGTCCTGTCCCCACACACACAGATTAAGCATTTTGCTTGCTATTTCATCCTGATTAACCTTGCCCCGATACTGCACAAGTCAGACCTCCAGTGTAAACAAACTTAATCTTCACAAAAAATGAAAAGCTATAGCTCCTCATAACGGCTGGGTGGTCAAGACCTGCTCCTTCAGGAGCCCTCAGAGTACACTTCAAAGGCATTACCACCAGTGAAGTGGAAAGGCAGTATGACCTTGAACTAGGTCGCCACCAGGAGCCAGTCACATCTCACTAGAGATCATTAGCCCCACCCTCAACCTCACTAACTTGTCCTTTTTACATTAAAGGGTAGACAAAAAACAAAACACACACACACATACATGAAAGCTGTACAGTTGGGAGCTTAGGGCCAATTAAACACCTCCCCAGACAGGAAATCAGTCCCTGCTTTAATCACAGGCAGTCAGGGTTGCTAATCTTTTGTCAGAGTTGGTGAATTCTTGCCTAGATCAATTGCGCTCCTGTCCTGTTGAACAGCGGCTTGGGGAACAGTCCGTGCATGCTGCATCATTAACCTAGGTGCCTAATTAGATGCTAGATGCTGTGGTCTGATCAATAGCCAAGTTGATTGCTGACTGGGAAGTGTAGCCGCAGACCCCAAAGGACACAGAAACACTATAGGTGCCTTTAGGAATTTGTCAGCAGCACTGATGCTGGGTAAACAAAGTAATCAACTTCTGTGCTTGAAGGGGACGTGACGCCGACTGTACCTCGACACTCTGTCTCTGCCTCCATGCCTGCCTTCAAGTCTGCCTGCCGAGGAGGATTGCTGTCTTTGTGCTTTCCTTGAGAGAAGCAAATCATAAAGGCCACGATCTATTTTGAGATTCAAGGAGTGATTAGGCTGACAGCTAGTGGAGAAAGCGAAGTAGAGGGAGAGGCGGGTAGAGGTGGAAGTCAAACCTGATTAGGCCCACCTGCCAGGTTTCTCTTCCTTCCATCTCTACCTCCTGATTGCTTGGTGGCAGCTCCCTCCTCTTCTCCACCACACTCACCCCAACCCACCCCCATCCTGTCACTGTTGACCTCAGCGCACTGCTAATGCCCCTTGGCCAATCAGCATTCTTGCCCTGGCGGCGGCAGGGTAATTAAAAGGGAATTGTGTCTACTTGGCATGTGCGCTGGTGGGCACAAGGGTAGACAAACACTCTCCCTGCCGCCTTGCCTCCCTCCCTCGCTGTCTCCCAGCCAGGTGGTAGCGTACAGGACCTGTCAGATTAGCTGATGACCCTTTTAATTCAAGCCCAGCCGGGGGCCATAATTGATATTTACCGGGAAAGGTTAATTGTAGCAGTGATCTGCTTAAATTACAGTGGAGATCAGGAGACTGGGGCTGGCCACCTCACGCGCCACCGGGGGAGCTGCTATACGCAAACTGCTAGTCAAATGGATTACACCCCGCGGCCATCGCCACTGTACTCCAAGGTGGGGAAGCAGCACGAGACATTGTGTGATTGGCCAACTCTGCACCAGCACAGAGTCTTCCTTGCTGAGCTCGCCAACCTCCCATCTGGCTGGGAATTTGGATGAATGCCAGCTTTGGGTCTTGATGGCCTGCAATAAAACAAGCCATGCATGGCATTTGGTTTACCATGATGTGGGTGGCTGAGTGCATATACTGGCCTACATATAAACTGACAAAAGCTGATATTTTGTTCTTTTTTTAATTGCCATGGCCAGAAAAACATAAATATTTTTTCAAAAATATTTTGTTAAAAGTTAAAGTAGATATACATTTTATAGTGTTGTATACTCACTGTTGATGCCACATGTTTTTCAGTTTTTCTTTACTGACCTCAAAGTACTATTTTTGGAGGATTTATCTAAAGAATGTGTGAGGTTGTGAGCAATTACAGTAGATGTGTGTTGTAGATAGTATTTGGCACTGGATCCTAACTTTTTACTGATTTTACCTGTTCATCTTTTTAGATTGTATATAGTCCAAAGCTAAACACATAAACACTTTTTTCTTTTTTTTTTTTTGAACCTAATGCTTCCGTTTGTGTGTTGCTGTCATATGTGTTCAACAGCATTATCTTATGCACAGAATTTGGTTGTGAAGAAACATTATCTTACCTAAGTTGGACAATACTGATTGGAGGGGTTACAGTAGAACAGGAGAACTGATAAAAGAAATCTGTCTTTTAAATCAGTCTGATACAACGCAGCACAAGAAAATCCAGCTGAATTTGCAGTGGTGTCCTGAATCCATGCTACTGTAGTATACGCTCACAGTGGGGTTTGTTACATTGTTGTTGATGCAGTCCTGTTGCTGGGTGGCAGGACTAGCACCAGTGGGTTGAGGTTTGGGGTTGCAGGTGCCTTTGCTACAGCCAGCTCTGTTTTGCATTTAAACAAAGTATAAACTGACATTGAGCTTTGACACACTATAGTAGCTTTGTGTTTTCCTCAGGTTATGAAAAGACCACGGCCCATTCAAGTCAGTTGAAGCTGAGGTAGTTATGCTGCATTATTATGCATAGCAGCCTAACTTGTGGCTGTACAGTAGATCCCAGTGAGCGACCTGGATCTGGAGCTTGAAACAGTGCTGTCCTACTGATGGTTTTGTTTTCCAGTATGATTTATTGCACTTTCAGAACCTTTTACTGCAAAACTGTTGGTTGCGTAGCAGTTTTGGCCCTTGGTGACTGTGTCAGATTTAAAGCTCTTGTAATATCCCCAGAAAACACAAACTTGATGATGTGTCTAAGGTCATTTAAGAAATAATGAAATGGATTAATGCCATAGATTCCAATTTATTTCAGTAAGGTATGTAATCAATTGCATTGCATTTGCATAAAGGTTTGTTAATGTTACATCTTTCTGCATTATTGAAGCTTCCTTTGTTACATTTACATTATGAAGCTAGAGTAAGATACAGTATGTTCACTAACATCTGAGTAGATTATTCTCTTCCTATTTACCAATAATAATGTCTTTTTGACAAAAAAAAGATAGCAACTATCATGTTCATTGCTATCCTGAAGCACATACTGAAGTCCAGATAAGGTTATGGCATCCTTTGGAAAAGGTCCACAGTAATGTAAAGTCTGTATTCCATTTGTATTAATCTGGCCAAACAACAGTGGCATGGACTTGTAATATATACCAAATTTAATAATTTTCCTCACCATTTTATAGAAGTATCACCCTGCAGTGATTTGTAGTTTTTAGGATTATACTTCATGGCTCTCTAATGTCTGAAAATTAACTTTAAATCGCTCGCTCTCTGAGTACATTTCTTAACTGTGAACATGGTGGTTTGGTTTATGAAGTAAGTGCATTATTTGAAGATTTCTTTTCTTGTGTCCCCTGCAGATCAAACCTTTGGCTCTACGTCCAGTGAAAGTCAGAGAGGATGAGACGGTGCAGGAGCTCAGCCGACCACACAGGAGCAACTCCAAGGAGCAACTCAGTGAGGTGAGACTTTGGATGAGACCCCTTGCACAGACCTCATTTAGAAGCATTGAGGCTGACTGTCGAGGGCAGCTGGTGCAGTAGCTCTTGCTGTTTTCAGCTCTCACCTCATAAATCCCCTGTGCCTTGGGAGAAGGTCTGGTTGGCTGGCAGCACATAGACAAAAAAAAAAAGATTGGGCCAGTCACAGAACATCACCTAGCTGGCCTGGCATTATTTAAAACACAGCGTGGTTTAATGTAGACATGACCTAACGCGGCCCCGCCAGGTGTGTGCTGACCTCGCCGACTCCAGGATGGAACGAGTTAAAGAAACTGTTCCAATTATTGCTGCACCGACATCCATATGCCAGCCTGTTTAGAGGACGAGTAAGTGGCAAAGGAAAATTGAGGCCAGGCACTGGTTCAGCAAAAGGGATGAAATAATGCAATTTAGATACAGGGGAAGTAATGAGAATTTATGCACAATCCCAAGCTGCTCATTTTAAATAAATGTAGAAATATGCTTTCTAACTAATGCCTGTCAAGCAGGCCTCCCAAATCTAACAAAATTCAATCAGACTGTTTATTTAGCTGACGAAAGCAGGAAGAGAGAGAGAATGAAGAGGAAGGAAAATATGCAGAGATAAAATAACAGAAAGAAAAAGATTTTACTGAGCTTATTAAATGCATTGTTTTAGCTATTCAGTATTCCAACTGAAAATCCAGCCTGGTGAAAAACAGGAAAAATCACCCAGCCTAATTTTTTCCATCCTCATCCTCTCTTTTCATTCTAAGCCTCACCGCTCTGTTTCTTTGGTGCACTGTCCCCTGTCTTCCCCTCACACTATTTCTCTTGAATTTGTGTAAGAGGCTGTCTTGTAATGAAAAAGTCAGGAGGAAGAGGTGGGCTTGTCAGATAAAAGACCGACGTCGGTTGATTGCTCTGACAGGGATATATGACATGCACCGTGAGGGAGGGAACATGGGTTGGGGGGGGCGGGGTAGAAGGGTGGAAGGGGGGGGTATAATCGCCGACTGTGTTAGATGTGGTATGTCTCTCTAATCTGCTGCCAAATGAATGGTGCACAGACACTGATCGTTGTAGCCGCGCCATCCCTTTCTATCCCTTCCTCTCCCTCTGCCCATCTTTACCTCGTTCTCTGTGTGCATGTCTGTCTCTCTGCTGGCTGTTGTGTTTCACCCAGTGAAGACCTGCATGTGACACACACAACAAGAATATTCCCCAACACTATTTGTCCTATACTGCTTCTTTTTCAGCTCCATGAAATCTCTGCCACCACAATTAGAGCACTGCTAATTTTCATAAAACGCGCACCACAACATCAAAGTGGCTCCCCAGCTTTAAGAGCTCTTAACTAATGGTGGCGCGTCAACGAGTAAAATGGATTTCTCTTGTCTTACCGCCAAAGGAAATAGAGACAAATGTGAAATGTGGATGCGCCTGCCCGCCTGCCCGTAAAAACAGTCATGCATCAATTTGGGAGCAGGGGGTGAAAAAATTGCAAGGGATGTGGTTTGTTCATTGCCATGGTTGGGTCTTTATCTGTTTATTTTGACTAGGTAATTGTGCCTGCAGTGCAGCGGGGCCCCGGCACTAAGCCACACAGGGATTAGGGAAATGCGAGGCAGTGGAGGGGGTGGGTTCCACTGCATCTGTGTGCTGTGGAGAAGAGGGTGGCAGTTGTGGTGGTGTCAGGGTCTCTAACACCCTCCTTTATCCACCCACATGCACCCAAAACCACCCACCTAACTGATCTTCCTGCCACAGAGGGCATATGATGTTCACAGTGCTTTTCTCGTCATGCTCCAGCAAGCTCTGATTGGCCCGCCTCTTGGCCTCCCTGCAACAATATTCTGGGTTGGGAGAAGATGGACTGGACCCTCCCCACTTGTCGCCATGTTATTCTTTTTTCCTCCTTCTTTGTAAAGAGAGTGGAGGAGGGGGCATGGAAATGGGGAGAGGATTAGGGGGTGGATTTAGCAACATTTCTCTTCTCTGGGGCTGTTTAGTTAACCCTTAAATGCTGCCAGCATCCGCCCCATCCCTCTCACCAGCAACCACCATAACCACCACACATACACACACACATGCACACTCGTCCTCCTCCCTCCCTCGCACTCCCTCTCTGGGGCGGGTTCTTAAATCCTTTTGAAGTCCTAAGCGCTGCAGAAATCCATTGAGAGCCATGTATAATGGCTTTTAAGAGAGAGTGTTTAGCTGTATGCCGACCCTATGGCTTATGAACCGCTGGCGTTTTAATGGATCCCCCCTTTCCCTCCCCTCTTTTCCTCCCTTCACCAGCACTAAATCCAATGGATTGTCCCTCATTATCATTTAAATAAGCCTCTCTTTCTGCTCAGAATGCTCCAAGTTGAATGAACTCTACATAGTAGGGCTAATTCCAAATGGCCTTGTCCTCCCACCACCTATGCACATAGACACTCACACGCAAACACATGCATATGCACACACATTTAAGTGCACTCACAACATGCACACACAGACAACAGGCCACATTCTCACTGGAACACATGTTTGACCCTTTTGTGTCCACAGATTTTGCCTTCTGTGCAGTTCTTCCTCCCCACTTCTCTGGCCTCCCCTCTGGTCGAGGTAGTGAAGGGAGCAGAGGGGCTGAGCAGAGTGAGAATAGCCTTTTGATTCCTGCAGAGCCTGCTTTCCGGTTCACGGCGGGACTCTTGCCTAATCGTCACCACAGGAGTCGTCCTGCGAATCAGAGGAGCACACAGGCGTTGATGAGGGCTGAGGCCTAGAGCAGCTGTGGGAGAATGGATGAGGGACACTGGGAGGGTGCAAAACAAGGGAGGCAGTGGTGGCGAAGGTGTGGGGGAGGTCGTTTGGATTGAAGGTGGACCCTATGGATGAAATTGGTCTAGCAGAAAAGTCCCCTCCAGAGACTGAGGGAGGGCTGAGAAATTGCCAATCTAGACAGAGGAATAAAAGCAGTAGAAAGTGGAAGTGGAGGGAGGGATCTGGAGATTGGTATTCATGCTGGGCGCTGACAGGCAGAGCCAGAGAACAGAACAAAACCCAGCTTTTTCTGTCTCCATCCTGCTCTTGTTCAGCATTTAGAGAACTGCATTAGAAAACACAGGAGGACTTTGATCATCCAAAGCACCTCCTTAAAAGCACGAAGAAACATTTTTCCTGAGTACCAAATGGGCTGATTTAACATAATGAAGAATGTTTGGTTTGATTCCAAATGTGCGAGACACCAATTAAAAAAGATCCCCCAGAATAATGGCAGTATTAATTAACAGTATTTAATGAAGGACAGTTTAAGTCTAGATAGACAAAATTAGATGATTACAGTTTAGAAGGGCTGTCTTTTTGTATCTGGTGAATCTGAAGTATTTTAGATCGGATGTCTTCTTTTTATGGTATGCACTATATTTGCAGATTATACATTAAATGTTGAAGCATCTGGCTTGTTATTGAAAAACACCAATTAACAATTCTCTTGTGCACTACTTCATTTTCAGTACAAAGCAGATTTTTTTTAAATTATCAGATGAAGTAAGCAGAGAAGCCAACATCTTTGATTAGCAGTCTGTTGTCAGTCACTCATCAGTTTCTGTATCAAGGTGTGATTGTGCAAGGGATGGATTCGCTCCTATCTGTGGCATTCTTGACGACACATAAGCAAGGGAATTCTTTCCATCTTCTGGTAGCTTATATGAAAATATGGGAGATGGCCCTTATTAAGTGACAGAGGGGGAACTGTATTGTATGTTCATTTAAGTTCGTCAGGTCACAGGATATTTTAACATCTGCTGTACCTCTGAGCTTGGGAGGACTGGTTTCAGATATAGTGCTCCCCACAGATGGAATGAGCTGCAGAAAGATTTGAATGGAAACTTCTCATTTTACTTAAAGCATTGGCAATTTCACTTAGAATTCTTTATTTAATGTAAAACATTTCTAATTTGTGTGTGAAATGTTTTATATTTTCTTATATTATAAATGTTTAGACTATTCAAGCACACTGGCCTTTCTTTTAAAAAAGTGACAATCTCAGTGTGACTGTTTAAATTAAATTAATTAAAATTGAAAAAAAAAAACCCTGTATCATAAAAACAACTGACAAACAGCAAAAAAAGTCTAAAAAAAGTCAGCTGACTATAGCCCCCTTTTACACCATCTATTAAGTACGGGAGTTTTCCACCTTGCTGCAACAAGAGATAGTATTTTAGCCGGGACGAGTTCGCCCCGCCTCCTGTATGAATGGAAAGAGGCGGAATGGGGGATTGGAGGTCTGCATAAGAGACAGAGACAGAGACAGACAGAGAGAGAGAACTAGAGAGTGAATGAGGAGAGAGAGCAGCATCAGCTAGAACAAAGTCAATCTGAGAATTAAAACCTTATTTTATGAATGTTTCACAGTGGTTATGATCTAAAGCACAAATAAACACAGCCACACCTCTGCACTACTCTGTCTGTTCTGCTGTGCACCTTGTGTGTCTAGCTCTGCCTCAGACACACAGACCTGAAATTGGATGCACTTAGCAGTCTACTTTAATTCCCGATTTCCATTTACAAATGTATCAAACAAAATCAGGGATCGCGGCAGCTGTGTAACGTGAACACAGGAGCGACAGTTTGCTAGCTTTTTTTAAGTTCAGTGTAAAACAGCTTAAATCCAAAAAGCCGCCTTGAAGAAGGATCAAAAGACCTGCAGTCTTTGCATAGGGGCTAAATATTAGAAAACATTAAGCATACAGCTGCCTCATAAAATATCCTAGGTATATCGGAGTCTGAGACATTTTGAAGTAATGCATGTACAATTCACGCTAAGCCTCAAATGAATTTACACAGCATTAGAATGACTATTGAGCACTATAATTTTACCAAGTAATTAAGGTTTTCCACTGTGACAACTCCCATCTAGTCTCTCAGTAGGACACGAGTGACTGTTTTTAGAGCCGCTCAGCTACCCTCGGTGGTGGAGGCCAGATTGTATGGGAGTGATGTGTGTGGGTGGGGGTTACATGGCAGGGCGGGTAAAAGGTTAACGTGAATATTGATATTAAAGCAGCGCCGCTTCATCATGTCTGTGTCAGCGAGTGAAACGCTCCTTAAAGGTCATCCCTGTTCTCCTCTCTCTCCCTACAGAGTTCCACTCACTCGCTGTCAGGCCGCGGCTACTCGGTAAGTGACATTTTCATGCTTCATAGCTTTACGGCAGAATTACAATCTCCAACGACCTGCTTTATGGCCACAGCGCTCGACATTTTAATTATGTTAAATAGAGTAATGGAGAAATCATGATATTAGGAACATTAATTCTGGCTGACTGAATGATTAAATTGTGCGAAGGTGTCCTGCACTACCTTGGCGGAAAGAGTCTTGTTTTATTGGCATCGATCAACGCCTTTCACCAGTGCTGCAATTTGGCTGTCAGAGTTTTATGTCTTCCTCCAGTGAGTGTGGAGGATCTTTTTTGCTCACACATCTGACAGTATGTCTAAAAGCCTCTTAAAGGCCCCTGCATCTGTGCAATAAAAATAATTTCTCACCACCAGAGAAATGCATGTACATTTACACCTCCACGAACACCCACAGCAGTTACATGTCTTATGATTTGTTGGAACTGTGCATTAATAGGAGTCAGTGAGATGGTTTTTATCACAAAACATGTAGTGTGCTGTTAAAGGTAAATGTCCTCGAGAGGAACATTTGGTGATGCCTTGGAAAACATCAGCCAGATCTTTCAAAGATTCACTAGCTCACAAATTGTCAGCTCAGGACTATTTTTATCCTGTGAAAGCATCTGTTGCCTTGCCCCAGTGCGTTTTTGAACCGTAAATTTGTGCTCTTCCCCACCCATTGTTTCCGTGATGAGTCTAGTCTCTGGGTAATAGTGACAGCGGTCGTCCTTTATGTCCTTTGCTTAAAGGGGAGCTCATATGAGGAACATTCTTTAAAGTGTGCTACTTTTAGCTGATGAGTGGCATATGGCAGTTCTTATTGCAGCTTGGAAGCAATCATCCAGACAAACAAAACAACTATAAATGCTTTGTCATCGTTAATCTGCCTCAAAGGACTGCAGTTAAAGCACTGAACAAAGCTTAACTTCAAAAGACATCGATCTCTGTGCTGTCTTTTTTTTAAATTTTGTTTTAATGGAACATGTCACATTCCTATTCCCCAGCGGGCGCATACTCACAGATGGATGAAAACAAACAAGACCTTCCAAAGAAGCTTGTGGAGCCCTTTGGCTTGAGCTGTCAGTTTGAGTCGGCAGGGAACAAGGCCTTCTCTTTATCCGAAGGGAGGAAAGAGGGAGTCCGAGAGAAGGAGGGCAGAGATGTAGTTGGAGGGGGCTCGGTGGTGGTGTGGGGGCAGGGGCATTGTGCAAGCAAAGTAAGTCCAGTAACTAGGCCAGGAACTTCCACATTGTGCGGCCCCCTCTCTGGCTGTCTGACGTAGCTATCTGCAGCGTGTGTAACCTCTGGGCACCTCCTGGGTGCTGAGCTCTGACTCGCAATCTGCTCTGCTGCCTGGCCTGCTTGATTTCTGAGGTGTCTTTATCTGAAAGTGCTTCAGGCTTTACAGTATGATGGTTTTGAAGGGGTGGAGTGGGGTTGGGGGAGCTCCAGAGAACTGTGAGGCTGAGCGGGTATGGGAAGAAGAGTGGGATGATGCAAAGGCTGCAGGAAGAGGATGAGAGAGGTTATGTATGTGGGTGGTGGGCTGGTTATAGGGCAGGGAGGGGGTGCAGAAGGGTTAGTCAAACCCGCACAGAGGTGCAGTCAGCGCCACTGGAGACCAGTAGTATGGATGGGGCTATCTGCTGGTTGGCCCCCAGCGCTGATCGCCATCTACTACTCTAGCTCTTCACAAACATTCAAAAAAATGGAGCTGGTGGATGGGGTTTGGTTATCAGTCACAAGCCGCTAAGAGGGAGAAAAGGCAATCTCTCCTGACAGTTTGTTTTCTCCTTCCATGAGAGATAATGCCTCTTCTTCTTTATGTCTCCATTCTTATGTTGCCTGCCAGGCTTGACTGAACTCATTTGCATGGTTTACACAAGAATGTAAAGGAAGGTGGTGGATTTTAGTGCTACGTTTATATGAAGAGAAGGTGGAGTCACAATTACAGTTTTTTGGACACATACAGTGTGAAATGCTTTGGCTGTTATGAATCTAACTACCTGCTGTTTTAAATCATCAAGCAGCGTTTATGCACATGAAAATATTACAGTAAGTCAGCATCACTGTTTGACTTTGTTTCATCTCACTTTTCTCACTTGTTTGTTAAGATAAACAGAAAATGGAAACGATAACAGTTGAATAAGACGTCATCACTTAGTGTCATTTGAGGAGTTGCCGACTGAACGCTTCTGCAATTGAATCCATACTTTCAAGTATCAACAGTGCATCTAATTTGTGTCCAGTGGATTACAAATGCTACAATGTTAGTGATATGAGTTTCTGCAGGCTGGTGCAAATTTTTGCTAAAGCCTGCTCAAGCCTGATCATTTTTGCTGACATACAGTACTATCACAGATTTTAGTGGCAAATGACTGTAGTAAAACGCATGGATTATTATTTTTTATTTTTTTTGATAGTGACGGGCATTTGCAAGGCATGTGGAAAAATATGGGCTTTTTTATTTATTTATTTTATTTTTTGTTGGACTGAACACAGACAACAGAAGAATAAAGCGTAGCATTCTCTATATGCAACACATAATAGCAAGTTAATTAAACTATCAGCAATAAATTAATTCAACACACAGCTGGTATAATATTGGTCAATTTCACAGTAAATACATGATGAACCCTGTCACAACAGAGGTGACTTGCTAATATAAATAAAATGTAATAACATACACAAAACACAAATATAAAATATGAGCTAAAAATAAAATATTTTTTGAAATGTTATGATTTATAAGCCAATGCCAGTATCCATCCTTTGTCACTACAACCTGATTTCACTTCAACTACATTAAGTTAGGTGTTTGTCTTCACATAGTGTGTTTATCCACTTGACATTGCTAGCTGGGAAGTCACGTCCAGCCACCCACCCCCACACCAGCCCTTCATCCCTGGTTCAGGGGTGCAGGCTAATCTCTGACCATTGAGGCCAGCAGCGATATGCAGCAGCAGGATGGACACTCGCTATCTTGCTCTCTGTGGAAGACTGGATATGGAATTGTTTATCAGGTTGACTCTCTTCTGTCTGCTTTGTGCAGGCTTCATTATAGCCTCAGCTATGTTTGGGAGACAATATCTTGTGCCTTGTTTCCTGCCCTGCTACCTGCTTGTTGTTCCAGCAGAGATGGGCCCGGGCTCAGGCGATTTATCATCCTCTCAGGAGCTCCTTGATAAAGAACCCAACATCCCCCTCTGTGCCTGTGAGATATGAGCTGCAAGAGACGAGAAAAATGTCAAAAAATTCTCACTGCAACTATCTGCCCATCCTGACGCTACCCCTGGGCTGGATATGCTATATGCAGGAGGAGATGTTTTAACTAAGCAAGGCACACACCTCCCTCTTCGTTCAGATGAAACGATTGAGCTTCAGTCTCCCACCACCCATCTTTTGAAACCACCTAAGGCCAAACTATGTTTCCATGCATGATAAAGCTTTGTCTGTGACAATATAATCTGACTAGTCTGTTTTGGGAGGGTTTATCTCCACAATGTCAGGGAGTAAAACCTTAGCCGGTGTGTTTGGGTTGAGCAAGAGCGCTCGGAGCTCTCAGACACACGCGTTCTTCATTTCCCCTGCTCGGGTTGTCATAATCATATTTAACGCTAAATGAGTCTACACTTTAAACAAAACAGTCTTAGAGTCATTTGTGCATTCTTAAACAGCCTTATTTTAATTGATTTGGCATTCACGACCTCCACATTGTGGCAAATACACTTGCCTGCCTGAGTGACGAGTGGCTTTTACGAGATCTTTATCGAATGCAAGGATTATGTCACTTAATTATAGTAGAAGCCATTAAAAGCTTCACGCTTTATTCAGCAAAATGACACAGATTCACTGGATTAAATGCTAAACACAGTGATTGAAAGAAATTGAATGTAAATTATATTTTATACTCGGAGTAATTTTTGCAGCAAATTTTTTTCACTACACCACTGATGGCGCACAGAGCTTAAGGAGAAAACCAGGGCTTCTTCCCGTACAGCATATGAAATCTCTTAACTGCCTCTTCGTGAGCATGTGAGTCTTTTGCTCTTGCTGTATATCACTCTGCCTCCCTCTGTCTCTCGCACTCTGCTTACTTTTCAGTGGGGTGTGCAAGAGTTTCTATACCACTGGCTCTGCACATGGTGAAAATTAGTGAAGGAAGCCCAGCACCCAGCAGGAGTAGGCTGGGGCCCTGACATTGTCCTGGTCTTGGGGTGGGGCACTGCCTGTCAGGGGCCTCTTCATGAGAGCTGTCCGCTTTGAAAAACCTATTTGTTTATCCCCGTGTGCGGCCTGGCTTCAGATCCTGGGCCCTGCTGTTCTCTGCGCACCAGGGACCTGAGCTGTTGCCGCTAGCAACAGATAAAAATTGCTGTTAACCACAGCAGGGCCCACAACACATCAATCAACGAGTCTGCAGATAAAGGCTGCAGGCTTCTGGGGCCCCAGCTGAATGACACGGCTGAAAATCCTTTTCCAGTGGCTGAGCACACACAGCTCTGGTGGTAGAGGCCTGCTATCATTCAGAGTCGAGGAGGGAAACTTCATTTTCAGCAGTGCAGCTCAGGTTTTGTTCTAATGGAGACGCATTAGAACGGCACCAGCACAAAGGGAACTCTGGGAGAGGTCATTTGAATAAAAGGGCGACACTGTGAGTTAGTGTTGACCAGCTCTCAGAAGAACCAGCCTTAGCATAGTTCAGCTGTTCTAAATGAACTCTTAATTGCTTTTGCCACTTGGCTTTGCTCTTAAGGCGGTTTAAAAGCTGGAACATTCAGTTTCAATGCCTTCCACATACCCTGTTCATTAGAACTGAATTGAGATCAGTGATTGGAAATGGCTAGAAGCTGTACCCCAAAGGCCCGAGTTGGCATTAGTACAAAGTACGTTTTCACCAGAGGTGACTCTAACCTTTTTCAGTGCAATTCCACTACCCTTAGAGCACACGTGTCATGATGACTTAGCTTCCTGATAATAAAATAAAAACGGATCTTTTCC